CCAGCCACCCAGCAAGGTAAGGAAGGGCACCTTCGCTGTGGCTCCACCTGTCCCTCATTGCTCTCCTGGGTGTTGGTTTCTGCCTCCCTTTCTTTTGGTTTTCTCTTCCTTTTCCTCCTTTTTGCCTGTGTGTGGGACTCTCTTGCCATCTTTCCCTCAGCATCTCTATGCATCTTGATTCTGGCTTCAGTGTCTGCAACCTTGTTCTTTCTCTGTGTTCACCACCTCTTACTGACTTTTTTCACTTTGTTCCAATCCCAAGTTTTATGCGCTTGTCTTAACTGAGACCCACCCTCCCAAGTTCTTGGCCCTCCCCTGCCCCACTCTGGGTCTTGCGCTCACTGAAGCCTGTGGATGCCCTTGCCCACAGATCATCCAGCTGACTCCAGTGCCTGTGAGCACACCCAGCGGCCTGGTGCCACCCCTCAGCCCGGCCACGCTCCCGGGACCCACCTCACAGCCTCAGAAGGTCCTGCTGCCCTCCTCCACCAGGTAATGACAGCTGAGCCCTTACCTGGAGGCCAACCCAGGAACGAGGGTGGGTGGGGCTGGCTTGCCTCACTCTTCCCCCTTTCCCCTCCCTGTGACAGAATCACCTATGTGCAGTCAGCAGGTGGGCACACACTGCCCTTGGGCACCAGCTCTGCATCCAGCCAGGCTGGAACAGTCACATCGTATGGGCCCACGAGCTCGGTAGCCCTAGGCTTCACCTCACTAGGGCCCAGCGGCCCTGCCTTCGTGCAGCCCCTGCTTTCAGGTGAGGGGCAGCGTGGCAGGCAATGTTGGGGACCCAGGGTGGGTCTGAGGCAGCCCAGGCCCTAACTTGGGCCCCTGCCTCTCCTCCTTTTCTTCCCTCTCCGCAGGCCAGGCCCCGCTGCTGGCTCCTGGCCAGGTGGGTGTGTCACCTGTGCCCAGCCCCCAGCTGCCTCCTACTTGTGCAGCCCCAGGAGCTCCTGTCATCACAGCGTTTTACCCTGGCAGCCCCGCACCCACATCCTCAGCACCCTTGGCCCAGCCATCCCAGGCCCCCGCAGGCCTGGTCTACACTGTGGCCACCAGCACCACCCCTCCTGCTGCTACAATCCTGCCCAAGGGCCCGCCGGTCCCTGCCACTGCCACTGCCACCCCGACCCCTACAAGCCCTTATCCTAGCGCCACAGGTGGGTGTTTGGCCAACTCAGGGTGGGGTGAGTTGGGGAACCCAGGGAATGGGCTCTAGTCAGGCCTGACTCAGCAAATGCTCTTCTCCCCACCAGCAGGCTCCATGACCTACAGCTTAGTGGCCCCCAAGGCCCAGCGGCCCACCCCCAAGGCTCCCCAGAAAGTGAAGGCAGCCATTGCCAACATTCCTGTGGGCTCCTTTGAGGCAGGTGCCCCTGGGCGGCCTGGCTCTGCACCGCGGCAGTCCTTGGAGCCTGGCGCAGCCCGTGAACCTGCTGCCCCTGAGTCTGAGCTTGAGGGGCAGCCTACAACGCCAGCTCCTCCACCTCCCCCTGAGACCTGGGTTCCCACTTCCCGGAGCAGCCCCCCGCCACCCCTGCCGGCTGAGGAGCGGACCAGCACCAAGGCCCCTGAAACCATGGTGAGTGCCTGGAAGACCTGGGGGCTCCTGCTGCTGCTGCTGCTGCTTGGCCCACTGTCTACCTTTCTGTCCTGTCCTTCCCTGCATGCCTGTCTGAACTGTGCCCTATTCCTCCTATTTAATTGTGTGACTGGGCCATCTCCAAGGCTCTGTCTCAGGCAGTCAGCATCCATCTCTTTGTTTCTGGGTTTTGCCCCAGCAAGTCTGAACCCAGTGTCCTCCATCTCCTTGCCATCCCCACCCCAGGCCAGCAAATTTCCCAGCACATCTTCTGATTGGCGCGTCCCTGGGCTGGGCCTAGAGAGTCGTGGGGAGCCTCCCACTCCTCCCAGCCCAGCCCCAGCTCCGGCCCCAGCCCCTGGTAGCAGCAGCGGCAGCAACGAGGGCAGTAGTGGCAGGGCAGCTGGGGACACTCCTGAGCGCAAGGAGGCGGCCAGTACTGGCAAGAAAGTGAAGGTGCGGCCCCCGCCCCTGAAGAAGACCTTTGACTCTGTGGACAAGTGAGCATGGGCTGGGGGCTGTGGTACATTGTGTGGGGTTGGTGGCTGAGGGGTCGGCTACAGGCGGGGCAGGGGAGGTGACCCTGCCCGCTCTCCAGCAGGGTCCTGTCCGAGGTAGACTTTGAAGAGCGCTTTGCAGAGCTGCCCGAGTTTCGGCCGGAGGAGGTTTTACCCTCGCCCACCCTGCAGTCTCTGGCCACCTCGCCCCGGGCCATCCTGGGCTCCTACCGCAAGAAAAGGAAGAACTCCACTGGTAGGCAAACTTGGGACCCCCAGGGTAGGTTGGGGGCAGACTGAGGCCACCTCTGAGCCTGCTTGTTTCACCAGACCTGGACTCGGCCCCTGAGGACCCCACCTCGCCCAAGCGCAAGATGAGGAGACGCTCCAGCTGCAGCTCCGAGCCCAATACCCCCAAGAGTGCCAAGTGCGAGGGGGACATCTTCACCTTTGATCGCACAGGTGCCGGTGCCTTGGCGGGTGGGGCTGTGAGGGATCCAGGGCCTGCAAGAGGGGTGGGGTCTTGGAAACAGGGTTAGAGATGGGAGAGGTGGGGCAGGTGTGGCTGAGAAAGGACAGCAGGTCAGGGGTGGATTCTAGAGTCCCAACAGGCCCCTACACTGCCACGTGACCTTGGGCGGGTCCCCTTTCAGAACCCCGTTGTGAAATAGAATTCAGTGAGGGCTGGGTTGACTCTCAGACCCTAGTATGGGGGTGGGGTGGCCAGGGTTATACAGTAGCCTTGACCATGTTCCCTGCACCATGCCCAGGTACAGAAGCTGAGGATGTGCTTGGGGAGCTGGAATACGAGAAGGTGCCATACTCATCACTGCGGCGCACCCTGGATCAGCGCCGGGCCCTGGTCATGCAGCTCTTCCAGGACCATGGTTTCTTCCCATCAGGTAAGCATGTCTTAAAGTCTTGGGGGACACTTAGAGGAGACCTGCCTGCCCATCTCACCCTGCCTTCCCCACCCCCCATCATCCTTCTGTCCCCAGCCCAGGCCACGGCAGCCTTCCAGGCCCGCTACGCAGACATCTTCCCCTCCAAGGTCTGTCTGCAGTTGAAGATCCGTGAGGTGCGCCAGAAGATTATGCAGGCGGCTACTCCCACGGAGCAGCCCCCTGGAGCCGAGGCCCCACTCCCTGGACCGCCCCCCACTGGCACCATTGCTGCCCCTGTACTCACTCCCAGCCCTGCTGGGGGCCCTGACCCCTCCTCACCTGGCTCGGACTCTGGCACAGCCCCAGCTGCCCCACCATTGCCTCCACCCCCAGAGCCAGGGCCTGGACAGCCTGGCTGGGAGGGGCCCCCCCAGCCCTCCCCACCACCCCCTGGTCCCTCCACAGCTGCCACTGGCAGGTGAGGGGCCCTGAGGAGATCCCAGGACCCACAGTATCCCCCTCAGGACATGGACAGTATATAGGTGGCAGGAATGGGGGAGCAGGATGGTTACCCCCTCCCCAATAAAGCCATTTCGTCCTTTCCAGTTGGGGGCGGAATGAGCCTGCTCCTCGTCTATCCCTGCTCCCCCCCCCACAGCCCCCTCCTTGTGATGGGGGACAGCTGAGGGGAAGCAGGGGCACAGTCTCCCTCCACCGAGCCCCTGTACATAACCTGGAGTGTGTAACCTTCAGACCTTTTCACTTGTACTTTATGCAAAATGGCTCATGTGAGGGCTGCAAGCGGAGGGTAATGAGGGCCTTGGGCCACAGGGAGGCGCCTGTGGAGTAGGGGGGAGTTCATGCACCCCTTTTTTCCCCAGAGGGGCTGGACTCAGGTTAGTTTGGGAGTGGGGGCTCCTGCACTTTGCCACAGGCATGGGGAGGGTTCTCTCCCCACCCCTCTGCCCTCCCAACTCGGGTTGTACTTTCTAAGAAGGTGATTCCCCCTACCCTTGTCCCCACCCCCAGAACAAAACATGTTGATCATGTGCAATATTTCTTACTGTGCTGAGAAGCCGCAATGACCGAGATTAAAGCTGTTTAACACACCTGTGTGGCTGCCCACTCTGAAGGGAGAAGGGATGTTGGTTGTACCAGTCCTGCTCCCCGATGGCCATGGAGCTATACATTTCCCCCACAGTGAGGTGGGGAGAGCAATGCCAGGACCACCCGCTCCCAACATCAAGAGGGACCCCATGGGCCCAGGTCCCTGACTCAACTATGGGCCCCGCAGCCCCTCTCCAGGCCTGGTGCTCAGAGTCATGACACCTGTTCTGCCTCGTTCCCCACCATCCAACACAAATGGGCTTGGGGAAGGCCTAGATGTGATGCTGCAACAGTTTAGAACCCTGGAAGTTCCAGTTGGACCTGAGAGGTCAGCCCAGAGGTGGCACTAGGCTGGAGGCTGGGAAGCCAGTCCCCCCTCTAGTACTGCGCTGTCCTCAGTGACCCCTGCTGCCCCCATGTGGCCTGAGCTAGCACTGCAGTCAGGCCAGTAGCTGGGTTACACCCTTCAGCCTGTGGACAGTGCCCCTCTGGGAGACAAATTATGTGTACCCTCTGTGGAGATGATTGCTGGGGGTGGGAGGGTCAGGAAGTTTCCACAGGAAGTGGTATCTAAACTAGGACCAGAGCATGAGAAGTTCCAGCCAGGGAACAGCATGTGCAAACATGGGAGGACTGCTTTGGGTGGGCTTTGACTGTTGGGCCACTGTTCCCAGAATTGCTTCACCCTAATCCTATAGAACAGTGATGGCAAACCGGTTTCACGAAGTGTTACTGATCGGTAGTGTCTGCTTGGAGCACTACTGTGATGGTAGAAATCCACCTGCCCCCAAGAACCAGAGTGCCTTAATGGCTTGGTGATGCCTGCCTTGGGCAGAAACAGAACACCTTGCAGAGCTGCAGGGTCACAGATCAGGGCTGAGGTTGAGGTACTCAAATGGGCTTGGCCATAAAGCAGGAAATGGGACGAGACTGAAGAATGAGAATTTAATGTTGCAGGAAGGCAGATGCTTAGGGTGTGGGCTCTGGCAGGGGGACACCCTGACCCTGGTCTTGGGCTAGTAGGCGCAGAAGCAGGGAGTGCAGGGCCCGGCAGACTGGTGTGTAGCCCAGGCGGCTCAGGTGCAGGTAATCATACATGTCATGGTGGCTTACGGTGCCATCTGAGTGCACAAAGCCAGGGTCGGCATCCAGGAAGTGGGCCCGTGGATGGCCAGCCAACGCCTCCCGTACTAGCTCGTTCACCCGTCGGTTTTTCTCACGAAGTGGGTTAGGATGCTGGCCCCTTGGAAGTAGACCCTGAGGAGGGGCACCAAGAGTTGTGAGAAGACATGCTACCAACATCTGGGTCCAATCAGCATCTCCACCAAACCGTTCTCCAACCCCCACCATGAAGTCCCCAGCTGCGGAATACACCAGGGAAACTGGAGGACTGGAAGGGTAGTTGTAGTGCCTGATGTCCTGTCTGAGACCCAATTCAGCAACAACCTTCTAGATCAGCGGTTCTCAACCTTTCACAGGGGTCGCCTAAGACCATCGGAAAACACATATTTTCGATGGTCTTAGGAACCGACACCACTCCTCCATCCTTCTCCAGGCCCACATGCAGATACACCCACATACGAGTACCCAGCGACCCCTGTGAAAGGGTTGTTCGACCCCCAAAGGGGTCGCGACCCACAGGTTGAGAACCACTGTTCCAGATGCTAGCGTCATTCTAAGTATTGCTCATAAAAAGGTTGACATAATGGCAAGGGGTCAACCCCTCTTTCAGAGAAGAAAATGTCCCAGCCAGAAGTGATGGAGCCTAGATCCACCCCAGGAATGTCTGACAACTTTTGTTTATTCAAGAGTTTTTAACACCCCAGAATCTCCAGGGCTCCCCTGGGAAAAAGGTGCTAATAGATGCCTGAACATGTCCTTATCCACTGCTGCTCTGATGGGTGTAGCAAGCTTCAACGTGAAATTTTGCCTGAAAGCCACTGCCCTGTGCCAAGCTGCCCAGAACTGTCCCAGCTGTGGTTACACCTGAGGGCGTCTCAGACCACTGCCATTCTTCCTTCCCCGCCCGCCCGTTCTCTCACCAGCACCACGACCCGGGCCTGGGGCTGCCGCTCGTTCACCAGTTGCACGATGGCCTGGATGCCGCCAGCCACCTGTTCCGCTGTGTGCCCGTGGTTGTTGGTACCCACCCAGACCACCACAATCTGTGAAGAGAGAGGCATGAAGCAGTTGTGAGGGGGCAGGCTAAGGGGGCTTTAGTTGCCCACCGAAGTCCTGCTCACCTTGGGCCGGATGTGTTCCAGCTCCCCATTCTCCAGCCGCCACAGCACATGCTGTGTGCCATCACCGCCAATGCCAAAGTTAAGTGCATGCAGAGGAGAGAAGAGCTCCCGCCATATCTGTAGGCAAGAAGTGGTGTGGGCACAGGGGCACTGTCAAGCATGGACCACCACCCGGGGTCCAAATGTTAACCAAATATTATGGAAGAGCCTCGCTTCATGGAAGCAGTCTGGTTCAATTTCACCTTGAGCAAACCCCAATATGGGCAAACCTCACTTAATGCAAACCTACAACATATAGTCTCCCATTCACGTAATCCCATAGAAGACAGACTCACTTTATGGAAATCCATTCTGCTTGAGTTATTCATTGAAATAACAGCTGAATCTCATTTTGAGGAAATCCATCGCAGTTTAACCTCGCTTAGTGGAAAGATCTTATAATCAAGCCCCCTTTGTGAAGAGCTATTACAGTTGGCCTTCACTTCGTGGAAAGGACAATAGCTTTGTGGAAATACATTAAGCAAATCCATTAAAGAGCCTCACCTTAGGCAATCTTGCTGGAAAGCCTCATTTTAAGTCTCACTATACACAACCCCAGCCTGACAAAGCCAGGGCACACATTTCCTTCTCAGCAGAATGTTGTACCTTACACGGAGATTCTGGGTGCTGGGAGCTATCTGAGGCTATTTCAGTTACCCCAAATCCCGCCTGGCCTGAGGTCTCATCCAGGTGTGTTGTGTCAGTGAGAGCCCAGGCCTGGGTGGGGCAGGAGAAGGAAGACGGGCCTCACCTCGCACTGATGCATTAGCTGAACCAAAGAGTCCCCAATGAAGACGACTTCGGGTTCCTTATCTTTGCTGTCCGCCACGAACCGATGGTGCTTCGGGGACAAACGAGAGGAGTCAATGGCACGCGCACTGCCGGGCCCGCCCTGCCCTGCTTCCTTAGGCAGCACCACCCCAACTGCCCTCAGTTTCCCAATCAGGTAGTGAGAGCCGCGCGAACCAGCTGAATTCCTGAGTCCCCCACGCCCATCCTGATTCCTGAGTGTCGCGGGAGGGTTCGCTCACCAAGGACATCCAGCGCCCGTCGCCCTGCACGTCCTGCACTGGCGTGGGCTTGCTGGCTGGGTTGTCTTCTCCGCTCATCTTGGCGCCGCAGCTCCTGCAGGATGAGGGAGCGAAGTCGGCCCTGGAGTGTTCCCGAAATAGGTGGCTCCGCCACGCCCACCCTTACCCCTTCAGGCAACAATGGACCTTCCGGACGCCAGCAATCCAGCTGTGGACGATGGCCGGTCCCGGGCGCCGCCTCCTCTCTAGGGGCGGAAGTCTTCACTTAGGAGGGGTGGTGGATCAGGAACCTTTGCTTCCCCCACGGCGGCCGCGCAGTGAGCTCGTCCGGTACGTCCTGCCCGGGCGCGTCCCACTCTCGGGCCTGGGCCGGGGCAGCTAGCCCACCCCGGCATCTGGGGTTGGGGGAGGCGAGACCATCCACCACCCGTTGGGGGAGGAGCAGGAAACCACCCCACTGGCGTCACCGGGTGGAGCGAACTACCTGAAAGGCCGAGAGTGGGCGGGGAAAAACGAGCGCCCTGCCTCGTGGGAAGAAACCATTTGCTGTAGGGCTAGAAATGTGAGGAAAAGACAACCAAAGCGCGCGCGCGCGCGCGCGCGCGCGTGTGTGTCCCATTCACGTGGTGGGGGGTGGGGAGTGAGTGGACAAGTCCATTCTTGGATCCCTTGAAGGGGTGGCTCCTATGCACCTGGCTAGGAAGGACGATCCCATTTTTTACTGATGAGGGGGAGAGAAAAGGAAGAGGGCAAAATGTGAAAATTAGAGGCTCAGTTGTAAGGAGACACTCTAAGGTAGAGCCAGGACTTCAGTGAGCCTATCTGCTCAAGGGCTCCCCCTGCTCAAAAACAGCAGTTTGTGGCATAAAATCTAAAGTACACGTTTTTGCATTACGGACATCACTGGCCCTGCAAGGAGAGCAGAAGAAGGTGCAGAAAGAGAAAGGAAATTAGAGACGCTGCAAGGCCCAGGTCCAGCCTGGCGAACCTCCCACAGCAGCTCATCTTGCAGATCTGTGGCCTCTGCTCCCCTTCCTAAACCTACTGCGGACCTACAACTTCAGCTGGGTGTGTCTGGGCTCTGAAACCTACATCAACAGCCAAGGGCACCTAAGGTTGAAGATCTTCCCAGATCTCCCTGTTCTAGGGGACCAGTGGGGGGAGTCCCACACACCCCGAAACCTGGCTATATTCCCAGATGGGACTTTTCTACGTATCTATTCATTCCTCCTAGGTAGGTTGATACTAAGATAGATGAGCCTTATTTATGTTTTGCCTCAGTCCACTTGCCTGGAACAGGGCCTGACTCAGTACCAAGTACTGTGGCTGCTCACAAGTACATGTTAAATCAATATTAAATTAGTGGGTTAGATCCTGGCCTTGTCCCAGTGTGTTGGGGGAGACAGATTCAGACACACAGCTAAGAGAAGGATCAAGGTTGTGATTAAGGGAGGAACTGGGGATCTCTGGGGAGGAGGTAGAGAAGGACTCTAACAGTGAGGGGTGTCCTAGAAGGAGTAGTGTCTGAATTAGGTTTTGGGGCATGGGGAACACCCTGGCATAAAAAGTCTAGGGGAACAAGTGCAGAAAGATAAGTTGGAGACGTAGAAAGGGCAGTTTCTGAAGCAAAGCTTAGAGAGAAACAAAGTTTCGAGGCATTCATTCACCAAGCGCTGTTTTAAGTTAGATGTTGGCTCATTTCATACTTTCAGCAACCGTATGAAGGAGATAATATTACAAAACCCATTTTACAGATGAGGAAACTAAGGTTTGGAGCAGTTACACAATTCTCCAAGGTCACACAGCTCAGATGTGACAATCCGGGAGTTTGAACCTAGGTAATGTAGCTCCAGAGCCTAGCTCTGAATGACGACTGATTTTCTAGGTACGAAGTCTATCTGTGACCACTGCAGACTGGCTGTGCACGAGGTGTACCATGGTGCTTCACGCCTAGCCTTCTCTCGCGCTCCAGACAGAAAGCCCGCCCATAGAGGTCTAAACCAATCAGCATTCAGAAAGGGGGGCGGGCCTAGTGGGCTTCCCAGCCAATTGGTGGCTGGGAGGTGCCTAAGGGCAAATGAGAGAAGTTTCTGAAAGTGAGGCTGGGAGAGGTGGGGCTACAACGGGCAATCTAGGCCCGAGGCACGTGCCAGTGCCCGGAGCCTCGAGCCTCTAAGACGCAGCAAAGCCAAAGGGCGTGGGAAGGGCATGCGCATGCGCAGGAAGCCTGGCCTGAGGCTGAGGCCCCTGAAGAGTGCCGGGAGCAGTGAGCTAGGGTTGCCACCGAAAAGAAACCGCTGAGCCCCCACAGCCACGTGGGGTGGGCAGGGCTCTGGGTTCTTTGGGCAGGAGAAGGTGAGGTGCCCCTCCCCCACCTTTCCCTCACCAACCATAATCCCCCTTTACTTACCTCAACTGCCCCACCTTTGCCGCTTCTCCAACCCCACTCTCCCAACCCCCGTAACTGTGGTCCCAGTCTGTGATAGCTCCTCTGTCACCCTTTCTGTGTCCTTCCGGCTTTCTCTGTCTAACTTCTCTCCTGTCTCTCACTCCTGCCTTTCTTTCTTGACCATATCTCCACGTTCTGCGTTCTCCAGCACCTCCTCAATCCCAGGATTTCTCTTATGTCCAAAATCCCTTTTTGGTTCTCCAGATCCTTCCGATCTTATGATCCCTTTCCGGTCACCGTCCTTTAGCTATTTTCCTCACGTTCCTGTTCCTTATAACCCTTTCTGTATTCCCTAACAAATCTTCCCACTCACCATGGCTCCCTTGACTACACTCTACCCCTGTGACTCCTTCCCTGACCAAGGCTTTTCCCATTCCTCTTTGCACATTTCCTTTCTCTCATCTTGTTTCTCTAAGTAGTACTCCCACCTCACCCCAAACTATCTCTTCTCACTACTCACTTTTAGGTCTCTGACTTATCTGCATGCACGCTGATGACTACCCTATCTTTATCTTTCAGGACACCATGGACCCCCAGCCACCAGCCCCCCAGGCTTTCCAGAGGGCTGAGAAACCTGGTCGGGTCCGCCGTCGGAAGACCAGGCGGGAGCGTAACGAGGCCTTGGTGGGCAGCCGCCGGCCACCGGCCTGTCAAGATCCTCCTGTGGCCAGTTGGAATCCACCTTTAGCCCTCCGGGATCCCGTGGCCCCTACTGCCTCCAAGCTGGTGGTCATAACCCAGGGCCGGCTGAGCAGGGAGCACCGCGGTCTTTTCAACCATGAGGTGAAATCTCTGGATGTGGCACGGCTGCTTAGCAGTGGATCTCTGGATCCAGTCACCCCCACACTCACCACCAAGCCTTCTCCAAGCCCACGTAGGGTCCGAGAATCAGCCCCACAGTCAAGAGGCAAGGAGAATCAGGTGCCTGGAGGCTCGGGCCCAGGTCCACCTAGTCCTCCCAAGCTCCCTGGCTTGGGGCAGCTGCTGGCGGAGCTGCAGTGCCAGCTGATTCTGCCACAGGCCTTCCCCAGGAGGAACCTAGTGCAAGAGGCCAGAGACGCCATCGTGGGTACCTTACAGGCCTGCCATGGCTGTGTGCCCGACCTTACGGTGGTGCTCCGGGGCTGCCAGCCACCACTGTCAGGTGAGCCCACCTCCTGTCCCTTGTGCTCCCCTTCCCCTTGTCTGTTCTAGCTCAACTGCCACCCCATGCTTCTTTTCTTTGTGCCAGGGACCAAGCCTGGGGGCCCTGAGAGACGAAGGATGACACCCTCCTGGATCAATAGCCCTGAGCAGGCCCCAGGGGAGAGGAGGCAGAGGAGGCAACAGGAGACAAAGGAATTCACCTTTACCATGCCTCACACCTTTAGCACTCCCACTACACACAGGGTGAGCCTGGTACCACCGAAAGGTCCCTGGTTACCCCCATTGCCCTCAATGCCTTCGCCATCCGGGGTGGCCTGGGGCCCCCCAACTGCCTTTGACCTGCTGAAAAGCATCTGGCTGGTAGCCTCACCGCCCCCTTCCCAGCCCTGGCAGGTTGGCGCACAACAGCCTCTGCCTCACCTGCCATCACCCTTATTGCCCCGAACCTCTGCCCTGGACTGGAGTCCCAACCCCCCTGTCCCGCAGCCTAGCCTCTCCTGGATGATGGCTCAGAGCAGCCCAGAGGCCTGGTCCTTTCCACCCATGAGATTGTACTGAGGGGGCTAATGCTGGGATGGGGGCAGGAATCCTGCACTCCCAATCACCTCAATAAAGTATCTTCTTCATGGTCCTCTTGATTTTCAGTGAATGGCTGACTCAGGAGAGCAGCTTTCCTTAGCTCTGAGTTCTGGATTCAAAATGGAGGGGAAGGGTCTGTCACCTATCACCTTCCTCCGTCCTGAGGGGCCAGTAGGCTGGAGAAACCTGGGGCTTCAGTCAGTCCAACACGTTCACCCACTGAGGCCAAGTATGTGCCAGACTCTGGGCTCTGGCAATGCTGGGGTCCCAGAGTGAATGAGATAGTCTCTGTCGCCAGGAGATTCCCAGTTCAGTGGTGGGTTCAAACAGTCCCAGCCCCAGTGGTTGCAGCTGGGAGAGAGAGAGAGAGAGATAGAGAGAGAGAGACAGGGGCTAGGGGAGTCCAAGGATGGAGTGTGATGAGGGAGGTCTTAATAAAGAAGCTAACACAGACCCTTGTATTTCTAGATTGGTAGAAACTTGCTAGTAGAGGAGGAAAAGAACATTTCAGGCACGGGGAACAGTATGTGCAAGGCCTGGAGGAGGGTGAATAGGGGATGTGGGACCATTTTCATTCAGCCCATATCTGTAGACCATGCTGAGACCTAGAGTGTCACAGCCAGGCCCTGCCCTTGAGGGGCTCCTGGTCGGCTGAGCACAGGAACAGCAGATGGCCTGAATCTGGCCCACAGGCTTTTTTCTTTGGCCCATGATATAGTTTTGAATCAATTGCCTAGTGTTATAAATCAGACAGTTTGCTTTTAAAACAGAATTGCATTTCTGGCTTCTAAAAACAAAAATAGAAACAAAAAAGGAAAATGATCTGGCACCCCACCTGTTATCCCTCCCACCCACCCCCTGCTCCCGACAACAATTGGCTCAAGCCAAGTAGCAAAGGCCCCCTTTTCATGGGACTCACACTCTCCCTTGAAAGTGTTTCACGCATTTATGTTTCCTGCTTGACCCCCTGGCTTAGAGAGTTTAAAAATGGTATTTTGAAGAGCAGCAAATTTTCTGCAGTAGGGGGGAGGGATGAAGCTAGAAATATGTTGGAATCTGATCAGGAAAATCAAACCCAAGGGCTTGGACACTACTCTGTAAAGCTTTTCCAGGGTTCCCCATTGCCACTGGGAAACTAAGGGGGGTACCACCTTAGTTTGGAAGGGACTGGACTGGGAGATAACAGGGCTGTGACTTGGCTGAGGTCTTATGGGGAGAAAGTGGCAACGCTGTGATTTGAACCCAGACAACTTATTTGAGTCTGCTTAATGAGCTTCGTAACACCTCTGTCTCACAGCAACCCAGTTGCACAACCTGGCTAAGTAGTGACAGGACAGGGTCAGGCAGGGGTGTACAGTGCTTGAGGTGGAGGGCTGTCTGCCACCTCCATGTTGTGTGACCCAAAATAAGTGTTTTTCCTTCTGTGTCTCGCTGTGGTCGTGTAACAGTGCAAGGGGTCTGGAACGCTGGCACCTCAGGTGGACCCAGCAGGGGATGGATGGCTTGGGGGAGTTGGTGAGCAATTAAAGAGCAGTTTGTGGACCAAATTGCGGGGAGGTCAGGACAGAGTTGGGGTCTGGGAGTTGTGGGCCCATTAGAGATGGCAGTCTGGAGGAGGCACGGCTTGTGGGAAGGTGAGTTTAGTTTAGGACACGGGGAGCCGAGGTATCACGGAGACTCCCAGAGGGGAGGACTGTGGCTGGGCCTGGGTGGAGAGGATGGGAAAGGGGGGGTCCCATCCCACGGGGATTAGAAAGGGGCCCGACTAGGCCATCTCGGAGAAGGGGGCGGGGAGCGCGACGCCCAGCGGCCCCTTTAATCGGGGGCGCGCCGCGCGCTCTCGCCGCCGTCGCCGGGCCGGAGCGGGAGCCGGAGCGGAGCCGGAGCCGGGGCCGGGGCCGGAGCGGGCGGAATGGAGCCCCCGCACGCACCCGCTCTGCGCCGCCTGCTGCCGCCGCTGCTGCTCCTGCTGCTGCCACTGCCCCCCCGCGCCCGGGCCAAGTACGTGAGGGGCAACCTCAGCTCCAAGGAGGTGAGCTCGCCGAGCCCTCCCCAGCCACCAGTCGTGCCCCCCGGAGAAGGGAGAGAGGGGCAGCATGGGGGAGGGCCGCCCTGCCCCATGCTGCCCCTCCTGGGCGGACCTTGAGATCTGCAGGGGTGGGGGCCGAGGTTGATGGGGGACTGGGTCAGGGTTGAGGCCGAGGGGAGCCGTGGGGTCGAGAGAAGACTCGGCGGTTGTAGGAGGGACATTGAGGTCAGAGCTGGGTGGGGAGCGGGGCCGGGTTGGGAGAGTCGGAGTTTGGGATGGGGGTGAAGGGACACCGAGGTGGTGCTGAAGGGACAGCACTTTTTACTCCGCAGTGAGTCCATGCTTCTGCTCAGGACCAGGAGAGGGCCTGGAATATTTCACAGCACAGGGTGGTCTCTGGGACCATCGTGGGGGTAGTGTGTGGCTAACTGGGGGGATGCCAGTCGGATGGTGTCTGGGACAGAAAGTGGTGAGGATGCGGATCTGGGCCTCCAGGGTCTTTCTCAGAGTGCCTGGGAAATGGGGAAAGTGTTGGAGGGAAGGGGAAGAAACTTGAGGGGGGGGGGCATCTGAGGCAGGAATCTTGGACTCAAAGTGAAGGGATCACTGAAGAATTTTGGAGGTGACTTGTTCCCCTTATGCTTCTTGGGAAACCAGGTACTGAGGGTAGAGAAGAAAAATTAGGGGGTCTGTGGAGCCAAGGAGAGTTCTCAAAGGACTCAGAAGAGGGTCTGACTGGGCCTCTTTTCCAGGACTGGATGTTCTTGACGAGATTTTGCTTCCTCTCGGATTATGGCCGACTAGACTTCCGTTTCCGATACCCTGAGGTGAGCCTTTCCCAACCACTTCCACACTGAAGCTGGATACTCCCTTGGCCTCCTAAGGCAAGGGCTACCCCAGCTCCCCGCTCCTCCAAACCCTGGTCTCTGGGTCTGCAGGCCAAGTGCTGTCAAAACATCCTCCTCTACTTTGACGACCCATCCCAGTGGCCAGCCGTGTACAAGGCAGGGGACAAGGTGAGGGCTGTGGGCAGGGTATACAGGAAGGGGAGAAGGAAGGTCACGGCTGGCCAGGGAGTGACCATGTCCCTGCCTTCCCTAGGACTGCCTGGCCAAGGAGTCAGTGATCAGGCCTGAGAACAACCAGGTCATCAACCTCACAACCCAGTATGCTTGGTCAGGCTGTCAGGTATGGGCCCAGCCTAGGGGAGTGGGCAGGTGCTGAATGGCAAGGGCCTGGGGGCGGCGCAGACTGGCTTCAGCCTTCTCACTCCTCCCCAGGTGGTGTTGGAGGAGGGAACCCGCTACCTGAGCTGCTCCAGCGGCCGCAGCTTCCGCTCAGTGCGTGAAAGGTGGTGGTACATCGCAGTCAGCAAGTGTGGGGTAAGGGGCTGAGCTGGCCACCTGGACTTTCTCCTCCTTGCCCTTCTGCTAACCCGCTACCTGCCCAGAGCCACCCTTAGGCTTCCATACTCCCCACAGGGAGATGGGCTGCAGCTGGAGTATGAGATGGTCCTCACCAATGGCAAGTCCTTCTGGACTAGGCATTTCTCAGCTGATGAGTTTGGTGAGCATATGGGGCCCAGAAGCCAGGATCTTTGAGGGAGCCCAGAGCTGGGTGCCAGCTGAGGGACACCCAGCCCAAATGAGCTGTTTCCTCCTTCTACCACATGGACAGGGATCCTGGAGACAGATGTGACTTTCCTCCTCATCTTCATCCTCATCTTCTTCCTCTCCTGTTACTTTGGATGTGAGTCCAGCACATTGTGGGGGAGGTTAGGAGATATGGGGGGCAAGGAGGAGATGAACTGCTCTCCCATCCTGTCTGTGAACAGCCTATCCCTATCCCTGTTCTAGATTTGCTGAAAGGTCGTCAGTTGCTCCACACGACTTATAAAATGTTTATGGCCGCAGCAGGAGTGGAGGGTGAGGTTTAGAGTATTCAACTTTTGAGTTCTGTGAAAGTAGGGACTTGGCGCCCAGATACCCAGGCCTGAGGGAAGAAGGGCTGGGAACCTGTACTCCTGGGTCCTGGGAGAGGAGGGCTGGGGGCCTGGACTCCTGGGTCTGAGTGAGGAGGGGCTGGGGGCTGGGCTTCTGGGTCCTGGGAGAGGAGGGCTGGGGGCCTGGACTCCTGGGTCTCCTAGGAGGTCAGTGGGAGTAAACAGTGTAGAATCCTGATGGGGACGGAGGTGGGTTCTGGTCACCCGGATCACAGTGCTAGGAATCAGGGATGCCCCAAAGACGGTTTCTGTCCTTTCCTCTCTCTGCCCATCCTCCCCTCAGTCCTAAGCCTCCTGTTTTTCTGCATCTACTGGGGCCAGTATGCCACTGATGGCATTGGCAACGAGAGTCTGAAGATCTTGGGTGAGAATGACGGGGGCCCGGGTGGGCACTCGGGATCCTCTGCAACTGTGTCTGAGCCGCCCTCTTCTCCCTTCTCCCAGCCAAGCTGCTGTTCTCCTCCAGCTTCCTCATCTTCCTGCTGATGCTCATCCTTCTGGGGAAGGGATTCACGGTGACACGGTGCCCAGGCTGGGTTGGGAGGGAGTGCTGGGGATGGGAGGCGGCTGGGCTAGGGAGTAGGGTCTGGGGGGTAGTCACCCCCTCCTCCCTGACAGCCCCACCCCTGCAATCTCCTCTCATGGCCTGCCGCCAGGGGCCGCATCAGTCACTCGGGTTCTGTGAAGTTATCTGTCTACATGACCCTGTACACCCTTACCCACGTGGTGCTGCTCATCTATGAGGCCAAGGTGAGTCCCACTTGCCATTGCCCAGGCCCTGCCTGCTCCCCCAAAGTTTTCGTGGCCTCCTCCACCTGTCTGCTAGTCCTTCCTCACATCCTACTCCTGGTGTGTGCATTCTCCCCCCCCCCCAATTTCCCGCCTTCCCATCTGTCTAACTGCATTCCTCCCCTCTTCTCTGAGTAGCTTCTTCCTCCTCCCTGTCTCTCACTGTCTGTCACATTTATGCCCAATGTCGTGACCAAGATTTCAGGAGTTACACAGAG